AGAGAAGAACAACCAAGAGGATTAGGGGACTGGAGACTAAAACATACGATGAACGGTGGCAGGAACTGGGCATGGCTAGTCTAGTAAAGAGAAGGACCAGGGGAGACATGATAGCAGTCTTCCAATATTTGAGGGGCTGCCCCAGAGAGGAGGAAGGGGTCAAGCTATTTTTTAAAGCACCTGAAGGCCAGGCAAGGAATAATGGGTGGAAACTGACCAAGGAGAGATTCAACCTGAAAATAAGGAGAAATTTTCTAACAGTGAGAACAATCAACCCATGGAACAGAAGTTGCCCTCGGAAGTTGTGGGAGCACCATCCCTTGAGACTTTCAAGAAGAGATTGGACTTCCATTTGTCAGAAATGGTGTAGGGTCTCCTGCTTAGGTGGGGGGTTGGACTAGATGACCTACAAGGTCCCTTCCAACTCTGATTACCTGTAAGTCTGTAAAATGTACCAGAACCATTTGTCATCCTGCTGAACCATTGCTAATTGTGAGAATTGATTTTGCGAAATATGTAGCTTTATAAATATATTTGGACATAGAAGGCCAAACCACGAGGAATAAGGAACTGAAAGTAGCCAATGGATAGAGGTTTGAGAGGTATATGTGGAAACTGTCGGTCAGTATGAAAGAACAAGGAAATAACTTCAGTAAAATTCCACTTACTGAGGGGGCTGTCAGAAGGAAGTACAGGGAAGCTTTGGACCTAGCTATTGTCTCTGGACCTCATTGCAATGGGTTATTGATGTAAGTAATGATGGCTATTCAAATTGCTCATGAAATAAACCTCTGAATCTCAAAGTGAGAATTGTTTGTGGTTTGCCTGTGTTCCTCTTGATTGGGATTTTTACGACACCAGACAGATGCAAAATCTTCTGGGCCAGGAAGAGAACCTTGTGGGAAAATCCAGATTGTTCTCAACTTCAGCAATCCGGCCATTCTAGGGAGGCCTTTTCCTGGATGGACAATCGCAATGGAGCCCAAGATTTCCATTGCTAAACAAGACAGTTTAGCAATGCAGCATCTTGTCCCACTTTACGACCTTTCGTGCCACAGTGAAGGGAATCACTGCAGTTGTTAGATTAGTAGCATGGTTGTTAAGCCAGTCCGGCTTCCTCACCAACTTTGCTTTGCCAGAAGATTGCAAAAAGTGGACCATCATAAATAGAAGCATCAGCATTTTGATCACATGACCATGGAGATCTCCAATGGTCGTGCGGGAAAACAGTCATAAGGCACTTTTTCCCAATGCCGTTCTAGCTTTGTCACTGCATGAATGGTTGCAAGCCAAGGACTACCTGTATTGACTTCCAGTGGACAGGATTAACTTCTGAAAAACCCGCCAGATCAGCCCCCAGGATGAGTGGGTTGGTGTGGTGCTAATGGAAGGTTCTGGAGTCCTCTGGAATGTTCCATTTTCAGAATGGACAATTTTGTATACCTTTGGTTCAGAACATTGTCAGCTTTAACCCTCTTCAAATGTCAGGAGGCAATTAACAATAATTCAGAAAATACACACTAATGCCTCAAATATGAAAGGTTTTGTAAAATGCATACCAGGAGATCGAGCAGAAGTAAAATTCCATGTGGGTGGGAAACATTCGAATCTTGCCATTCCTTCAGCAAAAAGTTATTTTCATGAGAAAGACTGACTCACAAAAGAGTCCACGATTTAAAAAAAAAAAAAAAAATTAACCTCCTGTGCTGATAAGTTCACTAGAAAATGTACCTTAACCCAGTTTGCAGCTGCAGTACACTAAAGAGCCTCCGGGTAGCAGCAAAGAGATACAGAAAAAAAATAAATTCCTCTATTGCCACCTACTGATCAAGTAGGGGTTTGCAGGATAGTTATAACCCGGATTCTGCATTTCTCCCTTAATCTTTCTCAAATCTTACAGAGAAACAAGGCACTGTGCCCAATGTAATCCATTAGTTAGGACAGCATATCAAACTTGGTTCCCGAAATAATCCATCTTTCGAGATCATGCCATATATTGAAGCAGAAACTAATTGAAGAAGTTTAGGCCTGCCCAACACGCCGACTGCAAAACCAAGGTTAAAAGCAAACAACCCTTCGTATATTTGCACAAAATGCATCCACTAGACCTCCCATTGACCGGGTTAAGTGCACGATGTGAACCAAGCGTCTTCCTGCCAAGAACGTTTCTTTTTCTCACGCGCACCGAAGTAGCATTCACAGGCCTTACTTGCTCCCTCGGGTGGCTGCCTAGACCCATTAATCCTGAGAGCAAAGATTACGGCCTGTTTAGCAGGCTGTGGTACTTAATCAATAGAAACCAAGCCTGTCCAAAGTCTATCAATGCAAACGCCAGACAAAGGGACACAACAATGGTTTGTCAAGTCAACAGTGACCTGATAATCCTCCAGCAACCTGACACCGAGACCTTCTAAAGTGGGCCCAACCTTAGGACAACCGAAGCGCCCTGGCCGCCTCGTTCCTTGTGAGGGAGATCTTTTTATGAGGACAGTAGTCCATTGTTGAGAAGATACGTTTTGTACTTGAACAACCCTCTGTAAGGTTGGGAGGTTAAGGTTAGAAGATCTGCTGAGGATCCCCGGATGGCCAGGATCTTCCCCAGGTCTCCTAAAAAGAACAAAGCCACCCTTTCCAATTCTCAAGAAGCAAGTCATCACTCAAACGCCAAGATCTTGGCTCCTGTGAGTCCTCCAGAAGGCAGGAAATTGCAGAGTCATGTGTCATGTTCTCCATGGTGGCTCTACCAAACTGGAAGCAAGTCGTCCTCGCACGTAAGGGAGTAGGAGAGGTCAAACTTTTGCTCTGAAATTAAGACTGAGGACGGTCCAAGTTTCCAAACCAGGGAACCTGCTACCATGGAATTTGAGAGGCACCACCCATGCAGATGGCTTGCAAAAAAGAAGATATCTAGCAGGGGGTTTTGGTTTACAGGATTTTGGCCTAACCCAGTGGGATCCTTTTGGTTGATAGACTCCATGAAACCTCCAGGTTCAAAGGCCATCCACCTCTGAATTCAAAGATTGGGGAATAAGAGTGGGAAGCTAAGAGTTGGGACCAGGGCTTGTCAGAGAAGGCGAGATTAACTAAGCTTTGGTACAAACCTAACCGAGAAACCCTTTCCGATTCTCCACGGCTAAGAAATGTTCACTCATGTTTGATTAGTAATTCAATCCCTCGTGTTTTTATAAGGGAAGGCCCAACCCAACTGATCTTGGCTTAAAGTTCAATGCCGCAGAAATGACCCAGCGATGGCCGCTTCAAAGGAAGCCCACTTTGGAACTGTTTGGTGTCCTTCGCGAGAACTCTCGAAAGCTGCCTTCCCCATATAACCCCCCAGGAGAGAGGCTGCCTTGCCAAAAGCTTTCCTTACCCCCCCCCCCCCCCCACTCTCTCTCCTGTCCCTTTAGACTTGGCCTTCAAGATTGACAGAAGCAGGAGGGTTTGTTTGGCTTTGAACGTTTGCAAATATGTAATTTCTCCCCTTCCGGTCCTTACACAACCAACACGGCTTCCACTCAACAGCAAACAACAGACCACGCATCTCTGGTTCCAACAACCCTGGTGTTTCTGAAAGCAGCAAGCTTAACTTCTCTCCCTATCCAGGATGAGAGAGAGCCCCAGGCAAGACCACATCTGGGACAGAAAAACTGCAAAAAAAGGCATGTGCTTCTATTTATTCTTGCAAACAAACACCTCAAACCCACTCTTTTCTATCACAACAGCCTTAAAGAACCCAATTATTTGAATGTTGCTGCAGAATTATTATTATTTTTTAAAAAAAAAAATAGGGTTGGCAGGATATAAAAACACAAAACAGCACAGCAGGCCCTCCCCTTCTTGGGGAGGGGGGCACGAAAGCATCCACTTGGGCAAACAAAAGCCGTTTCAGGAAAATGCGCTGCTGTGGCATCTCCGCCAACCCTTCGCGCCTTGGCAAAGAGACGGGAATGTCAGTGGCCTCCCTGCTGCCTCCTCGCCTTGCCGGGCGGACGGGTGTGTGTGTGTGTGTGTTTGTGTGTGCGCGCGTTGCCGCAGCAGTCGCTCCGTTTCCCCCGGCCAGCCGGCCTGCCTGCCTGTTGATGTGCCTGGCGAAGGGTAGCAGCCCCCCCCTCCCCATCAGCTCCTCCCTCCCTCCCTCCCCTCACTTAAGGGCTGCTCCCTCCCAAGGTGGCTCTGTTTGCATACATTAGAGCTGGCAAAGATTCCTGCAGTCGCCGCCGCCGCTGCCGCCTCCTCTTCCTCCTCCTCCTCCTCCGCCCCAGTCAGATACATCAACACGAACCAGCCGAGTTGCTATCCTGGGGGCTTCTTTCCCCCCCCCCCCCCCCCCCCCCCCAGCCACCCGCCGCGAACCCCCCCCCCCCCCCCCCCCCCGTCTCTGCCAGCTGTTTCCTTTCCAAGGGTTGCTCCCTAATCTTAAATGCAGGACTCCCCTTTGGAAAGACCCCCCCTTTTTTGGGGGGGCTTGCTGCTCTTCTGAAAGGGAAGCCCGGATAGATCTTTGGGGAGGGTCCCTTAGGGAGAGAGAGGAGGGGGGAGAGGGCTTGGTAGGGGAGGGTAGGAGCTCCCCTCTGCCCGAGAAGGAGAGGCAGACTTGGGTGCCTTGCAAAGAAGTCGTGTTTTTTTTCCCCGCTTGGCTTGGCTTTCCCAGGTTTGGAGTCCGGTGGGATAGCCGCCTCTCTCTCTCTCTCTCTCGTCCGCCCCCTCCCCTCCTCCTCCTCCTCGGTCCCCGCGCGGAGCCCTTCCGTGCAAAACATCCCACCCTCCTCGGCAGCAGCCGCGCCAGGAAAACCCCCCTTCGAGACGGCCGAGGCTTCCTTGCAAACGGCGGATAAAGAAAAGCATCGCCCGCTTCTCCCTCCGGCGCCTTTGCAGGCAAAGGCGCTTCCCCTCCCCGCCGCCCCACGGACGGCGCTCCCTCCTCCAACCTCCTCCCCACGCACCCTCCCTCCCCTCCCCCCAACCCACCGTCCCCTCTCCCAGCCGAGGCGTGGACTCACGGTCGTGCGAGAGATTCCCTCGGCTGGCGGCGATCAAGCCCGAGCTGACCAGGAGCCACAGAGGCAGCATCGTGGGCCGGGGAGGGGGAAGGAAGGAAGAAAGAAAGAAAGAAGGGAGGAGGGAGGAAGGAAGGAAGGGAAGAAGGAAGGAAGGAAAGAAAGGAGGGCAGCGGGGAGGAGGAGGAGGAGGAGGAGGAGGAGGAGAGGGAGGATGCGATGCCTTCCCCCCCCCTCGCGGGTGGCTGGCAAACTTCGTCCTCGCCCCCTCCCCGCCGGCGGGGGAAAAAAAAAAGAAGGGCGGGGGGGGCAGAGAAAGCAGGGCTCGACCTTTGCCCCCGACCCCTCCGCCCCGGCTCAGCCTCCGAAAGCGGGACCGCAGTGGCGCGTCGCCGGCCGGCCAGGAGGATGCTCGCCGATGGGTCCAGCCGAAAGCCGAGGATGCTGCAGTGACTGGGATTAAATAGAGCACCCGGGAGAGACCATTGGGCCGCCGAGGAGAGGGGAGGACGGGAGCCAGTCGGAAGGCCGAGAGAGGAGGAGGAGGAGGAGGAAGGGTTTGGGGAGGGGGGTGGGCGCGCGGGAGGGTTTGTATCACCCCCACCCTCTCCTATGCAAATCGGGGAGAGGGTCCTTTCAGGCCACAGGTGGGGCGCGGCGGAGGCAGACCAGGTGGGCCAGGTGGGATGTCCGGGTTGGGAACCCACGCTGAGCCGGGAGTGGGGGAGGGGAAAGAAAAGGGGGAGAGTGGAGGGGGGGAGCTCCCACTCGCCTCCCCCTCTTAGCAGAGACTTGGTGCGATCCAGATGGCTCCGTTTCCCCCCCCCCCCCTTCCCCCCCCCCCCCCCCAGGGAGGAGGAAGCTACGGCCAATATTGGATATATATATATAAGATTGGAGCTCATGCCGCTGCTGGACGTTGGGGGAAGTTACAGAAGGGGAGGGGGCGCTGGGAAGGGGCCCTCTCCCCCCCCCCCAGTAGCCAAACACAACAAGGCTAGGGATGATCATAAGGAGAGGGGATGATGGGTAGGAGGGTCCCAGTTTGAGATGAGCCCATCCGTCTGGAGTGTGGGATTCAGCCTTGGGATCCTTGATCCAAGGTGTCCTAATACCTCTGTGTGTGTGTGTGTGTGTGTGTGTGTGTGTGTGTGTGTGATGATGATGATGATACCTGGGTGAGCCAGAGGTTCAAGACTTCTGTGTGTGTGTGTGTGTGTGTGTTTAAACTTCTAGGTTGTATGCCCAGTGTATGGGTGAGGGTGGGTGGGTCAAGATGAACAGCCATACCCAGGGGATTGAAGTCCCACCTGTTAAAAAAAAAACGACAGGTGGGACACGAATCACCTGTTCAGGGGTTCCATCTTGGTTTTGTCTTACGCCGGAAGGGGCCAGTTGGAATCCAGCCACATAGGTTACAAAGGAGTATAGGAAGTCCCCAGATTTGCCGCTGGAACGGAGACCACAATTTTGGTCGTGAGTGGTGCTGGCCACAAACAGTGGAGGGGATTCAATTTTTTTTTTTTACTACCGGTTCTTTGGGCGTGGCTTGGCGGGCATGGCTTGGCTTGGCGGGCATGGCAGGGGAAGGATATACTGCAAAATCCCCCTTCCCTCCCCAGCCCACTAACCTGCTTTCCAGCTCCGTTCTCCTGTGCAGGGCAACCAAAGAAGACCCAGCCGATCAGCTGGGACTCGATGGGAGGCGGAGAAGAGATTGGGTTGGCAGGTGGGATTCGCCGGTTCTCGGCATTACTCAAAATTTCCGCTACTGGTTCTTCAGAACCGGTTCAAACTGGCTGAATACCACCTCTGGTCACAAAGTGGGTCGTCAGGTGGACGCATTCCAATTTTATCACCGTTTTTGTGTGTGTGTAGTGGTCGTTGAGCAACCCCCTAGTTTGCTAAGGGGTGAATTGGAAGTAAATGCTGGTTTCTGGACAGAAATGGATATAAACTGGGGGGGGAGGCAGTGGGCCAGTGCCAAAAATTCAGTCACATGACCATGGGGTGATCCTTGACTCTGGAACTTTGAATCTGGGTTGTACGTCCTATTTTTTTTTGAGGTGGGGGGTGGTGGTGGAGTGTGTGCCATAACATCAGACAGTCACTAAGCCACTGGTCCTAAGCCACTATGTATAGTGTTCTCAGTGGGTTCAAGGCTAATTTAGTGGGGAATCTCCCTTAATTTTAGGCTCTTGGGGACATGGTAGGGCTGAGAGATGGGATAGGCCCCAAATCAGGTTGTTCCCCAACTGATCTGCCATCTGTCAGAAATGGGGAAGGGGTCTTCTGCTTGGGGGAGGGAGCAGGGGCTGGACTAGATGACCTTACAAGGTCCCTTCCCACTCCGTTATTCTGTTTTGATCAAGGCCTGATCAAGCCCGAGTCTTTTCCTTAACCATACACCCCTCTGCAAGCTTATCAGAAGAATAGAATAGAATAGAATAGAATAGAATAGAATAGAATAGAATAGAATAGAATAGAATAGAATAGAATA